GTTTTATGAGATCGGCAATTTTTCGTTCGTTAAAAGAAATGGATCAAAGAATTGGTATCCAATTTTGCTTCAAAAATTAAATAAATTCTGTGAAATGTTAACAAAGGCCTATAGTGAGTCTGCTATGAGTAAAACAAGAGTTTACAAGTGGTATAAGAGTTTTCAAGATGGCCGTGAAGACGTTGAAGATGACGAACGCCCCGAACGCACAACAACCGATAAAAACATGGAAAAAGTGGAACCATTAGAGAAGTCGCTGATGATGTTGGTATATTGATTGGCTCATCCCATGAAATTTTTTCGAATGTTTTGGGTATGAAACGCGAGGCAGCAAAATTTGTTCTAAAATTGTTAAATTTTGAACATAATTTTTGGCCAAAAACAATACTGTAATGATGCCCCAGCCTCCATATTCGCCAGACATGCCTCTGTCTGACTTTTTCCTATTCCCAAAAATAAAGAGAACCTTAAAGGGCCGTCGTTTTGCAAGCATAGATGACATTAAAAGCGCATCGCTGAAAGAACTAAAGGTTATCCCAAAGATCGAGTTTTGAATGGGGACTATTTTGAAGGCGACAACATTAATGTAGACGAATAAATAAATATTTGTTTCAAAAAACGAAAATTCCCGATATTTTCGTTCTTTGATGTTAATTTTTTAATATTTCCGAAACAGTACCTACATTTAATATGTCTACAATTTTCTGAAGAATACAAAAATTAAATAATATACAGGGTGTTGCATTTGTTGAAATATAATACCTAAATATATAATATTCTACTATAATCAAGAAAAGCGTTTTTTCTTAATCATTGATATAATATATATTACCAATTTTAATCATAATGATTTAATGATCATTAATTGAAAAATTAAAACTCCCAACCCCAATTTTATATAAGCCGTTAAGCAGTTAAGCTTTCCTCTCACAAAGTGGAATGCATGGGCGACAATTGATCGCGATAAAAAACTCCGGTGGCTAAGTTTAGATATTGCCTTTAAGATTATGGCACCGTATTAGTTAAGAAGTAGGCAGCGATCGGCTTTCCAGTTCGGCTCCTTTATGCCGTCAACCCAAACAAGATTCGATAGTCTCGCAAAGTACAGCACAGCAAATTTAATTAAGTCTACTCGTACTACTAGGAAACTATTTGCTTACACGACACATCAAACACCAATTGGGTTTCTCCAATAATCAACTATAATAATGCAATCCAAACACATGGGTCTAATTAGGAAAATAATAATAATCATGTTTCTCAAATTCATGATCACTGTATACATGTAGACAAAATGCGAGATTGTTTAATGCCAATTTTATTTTTGCATCATTCTTCAGCCAATCTTCGAGAAATCCAAAGATATATGGTCTGTTTTTGTCTATATAGGTAATAATAATAATAATAATAATAATAATAAATTTTAATAATAATACAAGTACATAATTTAAAGGTTGGAGTATTATTTTATATTTTTTCCACTCCCACCTTTAAAACGCCCATTATCGTAGCTTTATGGCGCTTTAGTCACGGGCTTAATTTAGTTGGCAAAAAATCATTAAAATAAAGTGCCTTTCTTGTAAAATAATACTAAATGTGAACATTATTTTATTATCTCAATTAAAATATACAAAAGTATTAAAAAGATCTTGACGCCAAGATTATATGAACGTTTCTGACCTTTTGATTTCGCCGTAGTAGTGAAGTTAACTAGATTTAACTGATAAAGCGTTAAAAATTTTGCGCACAGTGCCCATAAAACATTCTCTTCTCTTTTACTGTGAAAAACTGCTTCTATACCGATTGTTAGAAATATTTAAGATTTTAACGCCAATAGATTCTAACGGGAATTCCAATAAATGCAACTGCAACTTTTTGCACCTATAACATTTTGCGTGTAAGAATTTTTAATATTTTGTAATAAAGTTTTACAATAATAGTATTAAAAAAATATTTTCTTAACATAAACATATTTTGAAGTTATTGTAATAATAATTGTTAAGTTGAATTAAAATAATAACTGTCACTGTTAATGGTAAAAATTACGTCAAAAATGTTTATTGAGATGGTTACTTTATTTTCGTATATATGTCGCTTTATACAAATATTTAATTTAAATCAATTTTTAAATAATATTAAGTATTTGTCGTAGAAAAAAGTATAGTATGCATACTGTACTATTAGCGATTAAATCGCTTATACACTTTTCTAGGCACTCATTTAATTATCGCAAGCTCGCTCGCTCAAGTCTAAATTAAATTCGTGACAAACTTGATACATAATACACCATTATCTTATTTAATGCCTCTATAACTTAATAATAATTTAGTTAAAAAATCATTAAATAACATAATAGTTATTTACGATATAAGTGGGATAAGAGCTTTATTAACGTACGCAAAAGTACGTTAATAAAGCGTTATCACACGTATATTGTACAAATTTTTATCTACGCCTCTAAATGAAAAAATAAATGGTAATTATTTTTGTCTAAGACTATTTTGACATTTTGACTTTTTTATTTGATGGGTTAAAAGCAGAGAAAAACGCGTGCGTTAATGAACTTCTTATCTCACTCAAAATGAGTGGGATAAGAAGTTCTTATCTCACTGGCGTAGATAAAATATGATATAGTCAACACTCACCAAGGTGATTAATTATCGGCTAGGCTGTGAAAATAATTTAGACCAATCGAGTAAAGGTTTTTTTACCTTCTATAGACTATAGTCGTTTGGACCAACCAAAATATTCGACTAGTGTAAAATCTCTCAAATCTCACTTTCTGTCGCAAGTTCAAGAATTCCAAAGTAAGTACAGAATTATTAAACGATTGAAAATATAGTGTCCAACTAAGTACAACTAAGTTCTCATCCTTACACGCCAAAATAAGAAATTTTACCTCCATCATTTTTGCATTAGTGTCATTTTTTATTTAAAAAAATCATTAAAATTGTTATAAGTAGAAATTTGGGGCCGCCACTGGTTGGTCCTGACCTATAACAAATGACGCAAAATATGCTTGCACACTGTTTTAAATATCTGTTGTGTGAAGAGTAATGGTGTCAAAATCCAACACCAAGTGGTGTTAATATAACACCATAAATTATGGTTGAAAATGTTTTATACAGGAAACACCAAAACGGTGTTTATCTAAAAATATTTGAGAAGTGCACCTACACAAAAAAAGGAATAGTTTATTTAACTATATTAATTTAGTTGACCCATAAGTATTTATTTAAATCAACTGTGGGAAGGTTAATATAAACAAAGATTAGTTTGACAGTACTAAACCAGATAGTTATTTTTTTTTTAATTGGTTAAATTAACCCAGAAAACTTTAGTGACACCAACCCGCTGTATGGTTGAGTTTACTAAATATGTTGTTTGTAAAATAAGAGTTACTTCAACCTAAAGCACTCTGTTAAAACGATTAAAACAATTTGCCGTGCATTCCTTGTTGCATAGTGTGTACCGATCGCGGCAAAGGCGGTGTGGATCACGTGATGTTCTTAAATCTCGCCTCTGTTGACTTACATAAAGAGTATATAAGCTCAGGTAGTCCTTTGCTTTGGTGTGACACTACAAGTTGTTCGATACTAAGGAGACCTTAAATAGGTGGAAACAGCTGTCAATACTTGAAGAATTTTAAGTAAAGTAAGTAAAGTAAAGTAATTTATTGTCCACAAATGACCTAAAAAGGTATTGGACTAGTCCAGGTTACTTAGTAATAATTACACAATTTTAAGACTAAATTAAAACAAAATAAATTAAAACAAAAAAAGATATATTTTAAATTACATATTTAAGTATTCCCCAACACTGTAAAAAGATTTTTGAATTAAAAACTGGTGCAGTTTTCTTTTAAAAATATTTATATTGTTTATGCATTTTAGGTGTTGGGGAAGTTTGTTATAAAACTGAATTCCGGCATATACAAAATTTTGCTCATATGTGCTAGTACTGTGTTTGGGAATCCTGTATTCATTCCGGGATCTAGTGTTGTACGTGTGATCATAGTTGTTGGTTATAAATAAAGATGAATTACTTTTAACAAAAAGTAATACCTCCTTAATATAAATACACGGTATTGGTAATATATTTAGTTCCTTAAAAATGCTTCTACAGGATTCTCCAAAACCCATACCAGCTAAGTTTCGTACGGCTCTCTTTTGCATTTTAAATACTTCTAAAGCATTTGTAGATGATCCCCAAAATAGTATACTATAACTTACACGTGAGTAAAAATGTGCATAATAATATGAAATAATAACGCTTCTATTAACTATGCTATTGAGCCTATAACAAACATAACAAACGCTAGATAATTGTTAGTGGAACGCACTAAAACATTATCTCTAGCGAGTTGAAGGTTCCATTTTCTGGAATAATACCACTGGTTATATACTAGTAATGCGTCAAGGAACTTCCTGTTTCCACAACACATAATATTTAACACTGAAAAGGAGTTCAATTTACACCAGGTAAAATTTATTTTAATACTGTGTGAAAGTTAAATTAACACTATTTTAGTATTTGAATTTACACCGGACCAACGAACCATATTTAACACTATTTTGGTTTGTATCGATATAGACCATGTATGGTGTTAATTTGGTGTTAAAATGGTAATGAAATTTTGAACAGTGTACCTGTTTCTTTTCTGCTTGGATGAATAATATCATTGTTTTTAGAGGTAAAAACTTTCTTGTTTTGGCGTGTACTATCATTAACTGCCTCGCAAAGATCTGCAGCCTTTGCAGCAAAAACTGAGCTTGGCTATGTATACTATTACTGAAAAACGACTTAAATCATCTAAAAAAATAAACAAGATATTTTTGTACGATTCTGCTAGTCATGGTTTATTTTGTAAAACAAAAGTGTAGTTAATTTGCCTAATAAATGTACCTATATTGGGAACATTTCCAATCGGGTTTTTCTTATTTTACTTTACAATTCGAATCCCGAACATTCTGAAACTCATTCATTTAATGCGTTTTTAGTTAGCGAACCTCGAACTCGAAATTCGCCGGTCGCCGTCTTCCAATATGTTAATGCAATTAAGATCAATTTGCAGTTCTGGGCAACAAATAAGTTGCGGCGGCCGCAATTTGGCGGCGCAGGGAGGCGGAGACGCGACCGTTCGGACCGTCGATAATTAGATGCCGTGTAGTGCGAACGTCGTAAATTGCAAAAGCGGGCGGCGGCGGTCCGTCCGTCCGTCCGCCGAGGGACCAACGCCGGGGGGCGGGTGGCGAGGAGGGGCGGTCGAACCCGCGTCGACCCAGCTAAGTGCGCAGTTAGGGGGGCCAATGCACGATGCCTTCGAAGGCATCGGCAGAGCCGTAACTCGACAAAAACACATTTTTGAGTTTTTTTTAATAATACTTACCTGTTAGTAGTTAACAGTACACTGTTATAAAAATCCGATTTGTTAACATAAATTCTTAGTATTTTAATTTTATTTTGTAAATTTTTTACATATTTTTTCGTGGGTTTGTAATTATTTTAATAAAAGGAAATATTTTACTGAAAGTTTTATAAAGGTAATATGCAATTTTGTAACCATTTTGTTAATTTCAAAGGCTACAGATTATTTTGTTATTATTGTTGTTAAAAAAGTACACGTGATTTCAGGCAGTCAATCAAAACATTTCCCACTGACAATACGCATCAACAAGTTCAACCAACTTCAGAGTCTGCAATTTATGTTTCTGCTTACTTTATTCTAATTCTTAACGTGTTCTTAACAACTGTCCAGTGTTTATAAAATATTACCATAAATCTGTTATTATTGTTATTCGGATTCTTTATATCTATTTAACGAGAAAAAAAAGATGCCATCACTGGTTTTCAAACCAAAATTAGGGCATAAAGTGAAGTGGGTTAAAGTTACAAAAGTTTTGTAGCAGTACTGATAATTATATTGCAGCAAATTTCTTTATAATTTCATGATTTTAGAATGGTGTGTTATTTAATTGTGTGTATGTTTTTTTGTAGTTATGTGTTATTATTTATGTTTACTAAATTGGTTAATAAATCAACATTTCTTATCAAAATTTTCAAGTTCCCTATTTCCATCAACAAGTTCAACTGACTTCAGCATTATAATTCATAACAACTGTCCAGAGTATTTATAATATATAATTTTCCTTGTTCGGATTCCTTATACCTTTTTAACGAGTGTGCGAAGTGCAAAGTATCCGAAAAAAGATGCCATCACTGGTTTTCAAACTAAAATTAGGGGATACAGTGAAGTGGGTTAAAGTTACGAAAAGCATCAGTAAGTGTTGTATGTCAATAATTTAACCATAATTCTTGTAATTTTGTATTTTTACAAACCTTTTTGTAGACCCAGTAACAACAGTATTTTTTGGATACTTAATAACTTAATTGAAAAGAATTTTCAAAAGAAATGTTTCTTTTTTAATCAATTTCCTAAACAAAAAAATTAACACATTTATTACATAAATAAATACAAAAAACATACATACAATTAAATAACATAATGGAGTAGTTAAATTTTTTCTGACCTATACTTTTTATGGTTTTATTCAAGGCGTTTTGTAATATTAAACATTTCTGTGAAATCAGAATTTCAATTGAGTTTACCGTTTTCGAGATATTTAGTATAAATTTTTATGACGTCACAAACCTCGCCAGGTGACCAACATTCTAAGATTTCTATTGGTTGAAAATTACCCTGTTGTCAGTTTGTCTTGTTAATGATTTCATTCGGTTATGTTAGAAAATACCCGAAGAGGTTATGTACAAATACTGTCACTCTCAGTTGAGTGAAAAAAGAAGAAGAGGAGGTTAAAGAAAATTCTGAGATTAAAAGTTTTATTGATAGGTTTACACATTGAAACACCGTGTGAAACCTAATAAAATGTAATAAATAGGTACCTAATAACTGTCTAAAGCAGAGTGTAATATATTTCATAGAAAAAAGTGGCAAAATAAAGCTGAAAATGAATGAAATGCATTTACGACAAAATATGATTATAATTATAGGTACCTACTTACTTTATTTGTTTAAAAGCGCCAATGTTCAATGTAACCAACCATTCCACAAGATTCCTCTGCTTTGGAGTCCGATATTAATAAATCACTTATCTAATATCAATTACAAATAACATTGATTTACAATAATCTAAATTTTAAAAAAACATAACCCGAAAAAAAGAAACGTCAAAAAATCAATTCTTCTTCTTCTCAACTAAAATTATAGATCAAGTGGTTTTAAAATATTATAACGTGGCGCCATCTATCGTAAGAATCTTAAACTAAACACACTGGCAACCATAGAAAAAGCTGGCAACGTTGTCAATAGCCTAGTGACGTAATTAGGAGATTTTTTTGTAAATATCTCGAAAACGGTAAACTCAATTGAAATTCCGATTTCACAGAAATGTTTAAAATTAGAAAACGCCTTGAATAAAACCATAAAAAGTATAGGGCAGAATTTTAACTAGTATTCTATAATTTTTGTTTAGTTTTTTAAAGTGTTTTTTATAAACAAAAATGAAAAAATGTAGTAAAAGTTACGAAGAAAATCATGAAGGACCGGTTTATTCATCTTTAGTAAAGTTTATCGGGCCGATAACTTTCATGTCTTGGCAATATCTAGTATTCAAAGAAATTATTCGTCAAATAAATCAAAAAAGAATAAATCGGCCCTAAATAAAATGCAGCACCCTTAGAATTATTGTTTAATAAATGTATACTATACATTTAACCTTAAATTAAAACTTTAAACGTGTATTACAACAAAACAGTAAAAGATATAAAAAATGTATAGACCTTTTTTTAAGAAATTAACTAATCTTTAATCTGATTTAAAAAGTTATGATAATATTTAAATAAAATCGCAAGGTTTAATATTTTTAATAAACATCCAATTAAAACAAAATTAACCGTCAAATTTTTTTTATTTTGCTCTTAAAATTTTAGTTATGACCTAATTAACAAGAATGTAAAAAAAATAGGTTTCACCCAAGTCCAAAAATCACCTCTCAGAACAGCACCGTGAGTTGGTTGTAAACTGTATACATTATATAATATATATACATTATATAATGTTATGTGCACCTGGATTAACATAAAATCTGGTTAATATTTGGTTAAAATTAACAAATATCTTTAACTGTGTACGGCCCTGCCCTTTGGAAATGTTTCGCGCCCCGCGTGTGTGCGTGACGGACGGACGGTAGGCTTCGCGTCCTCGGGGGGTGTACAGGGCGGCTGGGGGGTCGGGGCGGCGAGAAGGGAGGAAACTGCGAACGCGAAAGGGGAGCGAAAGCCTCGCGGGGCTCTACCGCGGCATCTGCCCGTCCAGAGCCGCCGCGGCGGCCGACCGTCGCCAGCCGCGGATCAGGGATGGCACCAGGACCCACTGGAATCCAGGCCGCAGACGGTCAGCATTCGTGATATTCCCATTTTATTATACTTATATACTTTAACGTACCCCTTGCCTTGCATTATTTAATACCCACAGTATTAGTACCTTAATGCGAACGGACGATGGTTTTCCATTTGTAATAAAGCACTCTAGTGCGATTAAGTTGAATAAGTCATTTTTCATTTTACCTCTCTGAAAATATTATATTTCCATGATTACTTTAATTTGTTAAACTAAACAAAGTAATCTGTAACCTTTGAAATTAACAAAATGCTTACAAAATTGCATATTACCTTTCGGTAAAATATGTTTCGTTGTTAAAATAATTACAAACCTTGATTTTCTACAAATAATTATTTTAAAATTTTACAAAATAAAATTAACAAACTCATGTTAACAAATCTGATTTTTATAACAGTGTAATATTAATAATAAGATGAGTAAACATTTTATTATTAATTTTATTTGGTACTTTCAAGTTTTTTTTTGATAATTTCTAAAATGCCTTAAAATTGCCAAAGGATGACAACTTATTACATGACACCCTGTATACACCGTGTCCAAAGTTATCTGCTCACCATAGGTAACTCCGTTATAATTAAGTCGGTTAAATTAAATGAGTGCCTAGAAAAGTTTATAAACTTTATATACTTTTTCTACGACAAATACTTAACATTATCTAAAAAAACGATTTAAATCAAATATTTGTATAAAGCGACATCTATACGAAAATAAAGTAACCATCACAATAAACATTTTTGACGTAATTTTCACCATTAGCATTGCACGTTATTATTTTAATAAATCAATTTAAAATATGATTATATTACGAAAATATTTTATCCTTTGATTTTTTTTATTACTACAATTGCAAAATATTATCACAAAGTAGGTATTAAAAATTCTTACACAAATGTTAAAGGTACAAAAAGTTACAGTTTTATTTATCGGAATTCCCGTTAGAATTTCCAACTAATTCAAAATGCATCCCTTGACTAACAATCGATAGAGAAGAAATTTTTTGCAGTAAAAGAGAAGAGAATGTTTTATGGGCACTGTACGTAAAAGTTTTAACGCTTTATCAGTTAAATCTAGTTAACTGCACTACTACGGCGAAATAAAAAGGTCAGTAGAAACGTTCATACAATCTTTTTAAATATTGACGTCAAGGAACTATTTATTGAATTTTTGTATTGAGATAATAAAATAATTTTCACATTTAGTATTATTTTACAAGAAAGGCACTTTATTTAAAGGATTTTATGACATTTGACAACTGTCAACTAACTTAAAACTAACTTCAGCATGTGACTAAAAACCTGTTGCTAACTTCGGCCCGTGACTAAAGCCACAACTTGTCAATGTGTATTTAAAAGGTCATGGAAACATGTACGATAATGGGCGTTTTAAAGTAGAAAAAATAATTAAACGTCTGGTTTCCGAAATATTCACGAGAGTAACATTTTTTAAATGTGACACACGGTATATTTTTACATATTTTGAAAGACAATTTAATTTGGTTTCAAAAATTATTATTACCCTAAACTTAAAAATAAACAATTAATAAGCCTTACACTTTCTTATTGTTGTTAATATAAAGTAATAATTTGGTTATTTTTAAAATTAGGGTAGTTAGGCAATAATTTTTTTTAAATTCGTAACTTTTTATGGTTGGCAAAAAAATTGAAAAAATTCACGGAAACGTTTTTAGTCGGTTAGTATAAAATATAAAAAAATTAAGCAAAATCAGTGGTTTGTAAA